CTCCCGCTCCGCAGGGCCAGGAACTGTTAGCCAGTCCTCAATCCATGCCAGTATTGTACCCCTATCCCATATGGTTTAATTTTGTTATCCAATTTCCTGCTGGGGACCTTATCAAAAACTTACAAAATCTAAATATACCACATCCATTAACCCTGCTTTCTCAATTTGTTAGTAATGTTCTTAAAAAAAAACAACAGTTTCATCAAATATGATGTTCCTTTTACAAGTCCATGTTGACGATGTCCAATCAAATCATTTCTATCCAAGTGTCCATTTGTCATGCTCTTTGTGAAAGATTCTAGGATTTTCCCTTCTACTGAATTCAGGCTGACGGATCTGGGGTACCATCTTTTTTCTCTCGTTCCTTTCTTAAATAGTGGGACAACATTTGAAAGCTTCCAAGGGATCATTCCAGAATCCATGGAATTTTGGGAGATAATTATTAAGATATCACCTATCTGTTTGCCAACACTTGGGGATGCAAAGTATGAAGTGAAGTCCTGGACTCTTATAAACTTTCAAAGGGCTGAGGTGGAGTGGATAGAAAGAACACATTTCACTTAGCAAAGAGGTCAACACCTTAACGTAAGGCCAGAGAATTGAAGGAGAGTTGATTATTAATTCTACTACCCTGAAACTGAAAGAGGTCTGGAACTCACTACCTGAAAGGGCAGTAGGGGCAATCATCATTACTTATACACTTGAGATGCTTTAACCTACAGTGCTAAGACAATGAGCTGGAAAGTAGGATTTAGCTAGCATCTTCTGTGCCGTAAACCTTTCACCTTCTAAATTTCATTTCACACCAATACCCAGAGTTAAAGTAACACTCTTGCTTAAGGATCATTCTGTGGAATTCCCAATGTAATAGCCGTCACTGCAGTCAAATCATTCGTTACAACGGACACACTGAGGATAGACTAAGTTGTGCTGTGACAGAGTTACAAAGGCGGTCTTATCCCGATGTCAACCCTCCCCAAGTCAGAATGTTCGGGGACAATTTCATTCTCTACTCAGTGAAATCATTCCCATTCACCATTGGTGATAAAACTAAACAGGTTACATTGAGGCCAGGATGTTTCTGAACATTTTTAGAACAAAGTAACTATTAAAACAACCAGAGAGTGGAATGACTAACTAATTCTATACACTCCATGTAATGTCAAGTAACGGCTGAAGGCAATGGATACTGCAAAGACCCCTAATTCTGGATGTAACACTGAAGACACATGCTCCAGAACTAAATGTCCCTTTATTCCAGGACAGCTGCACATGAACATTTTATGATACAAAATGATTGGATAATGTAATCACATGAACTAGCTTGAATATGATTGGATAATATAATCATGTGTGCTGATCTCAAATGTAGACTATGTGAACTATAGATATGGGCAAGCAAATGTATAATGTTTTGATTGAAAATTATAATCTGTACACATAGCTGATTGGAACCTTGTATTCAGTGGAAATAGTACAAATTCTTTGCTTTTGTAATGAAGTTTGAGCTATATGCCATCTTTTAAACTATACACCTCCCGTGCATGTGTGAATAAATGTTAAATAACAAAATCTGACTTTCATCTGGTCTAAAGGGTTAAAATCACCCCTTCACCACTTATCTGCCCGAATCAGAATGTAGTCCAGGCCTGTTGCACATGGGCTGCTTCTAAGAAGTCACAGATTATGCTGAACATCTTCACTTATGACATTATGGATGGAGACAAGGTCATTGTTGAAGGAGCTAAAGATGTTGGGCCTATGACACTACCCTGACGAATTCCTGCAGAAGTGGCCTGGAGCTGAGATGGTTGACCTCCAACAGCCACAACCAAATCAAATCTTCTTGATGTGAAAGTAGTTAGGATTACTTCCCCTCTAGGGTTCAGCTCTTTTCTCCATGTGTGGGCCAAAGCTGTAAAGAGGTCAGGAACAGAGCAGGCCTGGCTGAACTCAAACTGGGCGTTGGTTTTCCTTGGTGCCAAGCAGAGGTCAATGTTGTTACTGTACTTAGCTAGAGGTGTGGCATCTCCAGAGCACAAATCTTCAGCAATGTTGCCAGAATGTTGTTAGGGCCCATAACCTTTGCAATATCTAATACCTTCAGCCTGTCTTGATGTCACATAGGTGAATTAAATTGGCTGAAGGCTGGCAGTGGTGATACTGGAGACCTCTGGAGGAAGGGCCAAGGTGAAACATCCTACTTCTGATTCAAAATGCTTCAGCTTTGTCTTTTGCACTGATATGCTGGGCTCCCCCGTCATTGAGGATGTTTGTGAAACATCCTCCTACTCCAGTAAGTTGTTTAGTTACCCAGTACCATTCACGACTGGATGTGGCTGGACTGCACATCTCCATCCTGACTATCACTTGCCACTCAGGCAGTTTGGCACGCAAGTAGTCCTGTTTGGTGCTTCACCAGGTTGACACCTTGTTTTTAGGTCCGCCTGGTGCTGCCCTGTTGCACTCTTCATTGAACTAGGGTTGATTCCCTTGATGGTGACAGTTACAGATTGTGGTTGAATACAGTTCTGCTGCTGATGGCCCACAGCGCTTCATGGATGCCCAGGCTTGAATTGCCAGATCTGTTCAAAATCTGTCCCATTCAGCACAATGGTAGTGCCACATGACACGATGGATATAGAGTTGAGAGTTTGTCTCCAAAAAGGCTGTGCGGTGCTCACTCCTACCAACACTTAGGTGCTTCTGCTATAGGTAGACTGACAAGGATGAGGTTAAGTGCGTTTTCTCTTGTCAGTTCCCTCACCAATCTGCCACCTCAGGTAAGGGTAAAGTGGCCATAGCCTCAGAAGACCACTCTCTCATTACAGAGGGGGACATCTGGTTGTGGTTTAACGAAGGTCATTCTGGCACAGGCTACAGGAGAGGTTGAGAAGGACAGTCCTTCATGGTAACCTCAGCCAGTGTGGGAATTGAACCCACCCTGTTGGCATCACTCTGCATCACAAAGCAGCCAAAAGTCTAGACAACTGAGCTAACCAACCCCCCACTACCTGCCACAGACACAGTCGAGAAACTTTGTTCTTCAGATCAGAGGCTGGGAGTCTGTAGGATCTACAGCACAGAGAGTGCTACACAAGAGCCATGCCAGGGCACAAATGCCAGGGTTGACTCTTTGAAACAGTTAGCCAATCAATCCCACTGCACTGTTTTTCCCCACAGTCCTACAAACTTTCCTTTTCAAGCATTTATTCATTTGCTACATCCCACAAAAAAAAAACTGTTGCAGTTTGCATTCCTCTAGTTGCAGCAAATCAGGATTCAGTGATGCTTGGTGCGCTGCCAGGTTATGGCCATTTAAAATGTGACAGGACGTCTATCTTGTAACATTGGTGAGATCCTGTTTGTGCTTTATGAACAAGCCTGTACTGAAGGGAGTTGACAATCATTGTGGGACTTTGCAGTGAGTTTTCCATCATAAATATCTTTGTATTTGCATTTTGAATGGTACCCATACTGTTAAACATTCTTCTACTCAAGAAACTAACCTCTTTGTTAAAAGAATTGCTTTAACAGTAGTTTGTGGCAGACTGATACATTCTAACATATTGAAGTATAAACATTTTTCTAAGGTCGATGCTAATTCTTTGATCTTTCTCTTAAAACTACGTGTTATTGTCTCACTTAGAAGTTGAATTAACCTGAACAAAACCATTCATAATCTTGCTGAAATCTATCTGGTCGCATGGCAGTCTTTCTAGCTTTATTCCAAAATATGCAAACTTCTACAGTCTCAACAATATTGAAAGCCTCTCACTTTAGCATCTGCATTCCACTTTCCCAATGATTTTACAACTGTGTCAATGAAATCTTGAAGGGATTATCTGTTTCTCCATTTGGGGGCTTTGCTGGCTAAGCTGCTATTTATCGCCCATACCGAGTTGTACCAGAGCAAGTCATGGTGAGTCTTCTTGAAATGCCTTATTAAACCTCTGCAGTGTATACAATTAAGATTTTCCTAAAGTGTGTTGGGTAGGATAAACACAACTTGCATTTACATAGTACCTTTAACAGACTAAAATGTCCCAAGGCACTTTCGCACAGGAATATTACCAAACAAAACTTGACACTGATTCAAGACAAAATGTTATGAGGCAAACAAAAGCGTGGGCAAAGAGAGAGATTTTAAGAAGCATCTTGAAGAGAGAGTGAAGTTGAGAGACAGAGGGACTTAGAGAGGGATTTCCAGAATGTGGGGCCCACCTAGCTAACCAATGATGGAGTGATGAACATGACGTGCATGTAAAAGTCGAGGATTGGAGGAGAGCAGAAATGTAAGAAGTTATTGGTGGCACCAGGGATCGGCAAGGGAGAGATTTAAAAACAAGGATTAGAATTTTAATGTCCTAGCCTTGCTTGACTGGGAGCCAATATACGTGTGAGGGAGCAACGAAGGAATGTTAATTTATCCAAGTCAGGATGATGTGGCACTGGGCTAATGGTATTCCCATGAAATTGCTGACTTTATGTGGGCACATAATCAAATGCTTTCTGAAACTTTTTCTAATCATATTTCCCCAATCTGTTCCCATATCTTTCCTTCCACCTCTCCAATCTAATCTCAAATGTTGATCTAGTTTCTTCCTTAATAACTGTATCTAAATTCCAAGCTTCACAAATATGTAAAGAGGCTTTTTCCTGGTGTCAGATCTAGATCACTTGCATTGAATCTTATATTCGTAGCTTCTTTATTTTCATCACTCAACTTTATTTACCCCTGCAGTGACTGATTGACCTTATAGAATATAGTCTGTCATTCCTCATTAAGGTTTCCTTGTGCACACAGCAACTTTAAGAGCTTATGAATCTTTTGTAAGATAACATTTTCCAGGAATGCAAATAACTACCAGGATGGAGGCTCCAACCTGTTACACTGACAGACTTGATCCACATTTTGAGCAAACTTAATAAATCAATAGTTTGTCGCTTTCCCAGGTTGTAGATTTGAATGCTTTTACTGTTTGTGCAAAAGGTGACAGATGGACAGTACACGAGAGCTGTCCAAGTTGGATTGTCGTGTCAGGAACTTTCTGGAGTTGAAGAGTATCTCTCAGAGATCGGAGACACAGAGAGGAAGTTCTGGGAGCAGGAAGACAGCTGAGCACATGGAGAAATCCTGCAGTGTTCTCTCTGAGGAAGATCCTGAGGATAACGTGCCCTGTGTTCTGGTGAAGCACTACCAGTTTTGTGGCTATGACTTGGAGATCACTCGGTACTTCAATGAAAGGATGGGGGTCTCAGCTTTCGTCTGGAATTCTGTAAGCCTAAAAAAAATTTTGTATTAACCAAACTTGGGGAAACTGGTCAAGACTTTGAATATTTATTCCTTACATTATCTGAGAAAAACTGCAGTGTCTTTGTTCGGTAAAAGCAGAAGGTGTTGCAAATACTCAGCAGGTTGGGCAGCATCTGTGGAGATAGAAAGAGTTAATATTACTGGTCAGTGATGATTGAGCAGAACTAAGACAGGCTGGAGTTATAGCAGGCTTTAATCAAACGCAAGCAAGTGGGAAAGGAGACAAGGGAGGAACCAACGGGAAAGTCTATAAGGGAAGGAAGGCAAGAGATAGTAAATGAGAAGAAGAATGATAGTACAAAGCAAAAGGAGCCGATAGCTCATGGGACATTGAATTGAACTGAATTAGCTTTATTGTCACATGTACACACGAGTAAAGTGAGAAGTTTACACATTGGCATTTATGGCGCCATCTTAGATACAAAGGTACCTATGTACAGATTCTTGAGTAGAAATTCTAAGGAAAAAAACTTAGAAAAATAAAAAAAATAAGAAGTCCAGCCTTACAGATCTTCAAAAGTACTGGAAATCAAATTTCGCTATTCTCGGAGTTATCATAGAAGTTAAAGACTTTTAAAAGTCCGCAGAATTCCCCAATTTACCTGTCTTTTTGTCCCAGATTGTCAGAAAGCACAGACTAGGTGTTGTGTCCTTAATAAAAATTACTACTTAATACAAATTAGTGCTTTCTTACCACAGGTAAACAATTATGAACTGTCAACATATGACTTTACTGATTAAATAATCATAAACGTCCCCTCTACACATACACACACATAGATCCAGACACAACAAAAGGATATTATGGGTGAAGGGGAAGACTGGGAAGGCAGTTCACTGGCCCAAGTACACAGGGTTTGCTGTGATGATTCTTTTGCTGCTCAGAATACTGCTTCTTAGTCTTCCTTCTCCAGGTACTTTCACGTGCTTTCAGAATGGTCAGGGTGACTGGTTACACTTATAAAAGTCTCTGATTTATTAATTTTTAAAAAATACAGCTTACAGCAACTGATGAGCGGAAACAAACTGGTTGTCTTCAAGCTTGAGATGCTTTTTACTGCAGAGCAAAAGCATGGTTGCTTCTCTTCCAGATAGCCCCTGAAAATTCACATCCCTGACCTATTCAGCTATTTAGGAGTCAATCTCATAGCTGGTGATAGGCAGGGGTCTTTGCCATTGATAACTAGTCATATTTCACAGACAAATCTCCATTTGTACATAGCCCCTTGCTCTAGTTCATCTGTAACTAGGCTTTCCCCTTTTGCTTGAACAAGCAGCTGTGTAAACAGCACTTACAATGAGTGTCTGGTAACTTGCTTTTAGAAAGTGCAGTAACTCTACAATAATCCTTGGCTTTTAAAACAGTACTTCTCCCATTACAGTCCACAATAAAAAAAATAGAAAAATAGAAAGATATGGTCTTTACAACAAGTAAAGAATCAAACGACAGATTGCCCTCAGTAGAGAAGGCCCATTCTTTCCTGTTTGCACCTTATATGCACCGAATTTCCATCCTTTTTTCACACCATTGACAACCTTTTGTCTGTTGCATTGGGCATCTACGCCTTCTGTTCCCTTCGCCTCTCCTCCACCTCCGTCAAAAGTATTAAAATAAGCATTTTCTAATGTCTTTCAGTTCTGAACAAGTCACACAGGACTGGAAATGTTAACTTTGTTTATCTCTCCACAGATGCTGCCAGATGTTTGAGTTTCTCTAGCATTCCCAATGTTTGCCTGTGATGTTAGCAGGATGCCTGCAGAGGCAGGAAATGGCCCTGGGACTGAGTTGGACATTTGGCAACTAATCTGTCAACTGTTGGCAAAATGGCAGTAGGAAGACGTCATGCATGAAACCTCACTCCTGCCTGCCACATTCTCACTACCAGAAGGCTCGTAAAACTTTTGTCAGTGCCTTCTGCTTCCTGACTCCTCCTCCAACGAGAACAATTTCTCTTGACCTACTCTGTATTGATCCCTTATGATTTTGAACACTCTGTTATATCTCCTCCCAACCTTCTAATTTTTAAGAAGACCAACCCCAGCTTCTGCAATATATCCACATTAAGTCTAAGTCTTCATCTGTAGAACCGCTCCTATAAATCTTTCCTTACCCTCTCTAAAGGGTTTAGTTCCTCCCTAAAATGTGGCGTTTAGAATTGGACTCCATAATTCAGTTGAAGCTGAAGATGTGTTTAATAAAGGTTATCACGATCTCTTTGTTTTGACTGCATTTACAAACCCCAAGATTCTGTATGCCAGATCTTCCTTAAATGGGGTTTGGGACCCCGAGTGGGCTTGCACGTGGAAATTAGAACATAGAACATAGAACATAGAACATTACAGCGCAGTACAGGCCCTTCGGCCCTCGATGTTGCGCCGACCTGTGAAACCAAGCTGAAGCCCATCTAACCTAAACTATTCCATTATCATCCATATGTTTATCCAATGGCCATTTAAATGCCCTTAAAGTGGGCGAGTCTACTATTTTTGCAGGCAGGGCATTCCACGCCCTTACTACTCTCTGAGTAAAGAACCTACCTCTGACATCTGTCCTATATCTATCACCCCTCAATTTAAAGCTATGTCCCCTCATGCTAGCCATCACCATCCGAGGAAGAAGGCTCCCACTGTCCACCCTATCTAATCCTCTGATCATCTTGTATGTCTCTATCAAGTCACCTCTTAACCTTCTTCTCTCTAACGAAAACAGCCTCAAGACCCTCAGCCTTTCCTCATAAGACCTTCCCTCCATACCAGGCAACATCCTGGTAAATCTCCTCTGCACCCTTTCCAATGCTTCCACATCCTTCCTATAATGCGGTGACCAGAACTGTACGCAATACTCCAAGTGCGGCCGCACCAGAGTTTTGTACAGCTGCAACATGACCTCATGGCTCCGAAACTCAATCCCTCTACCAATAAAATCTAACATACTGTACGCCTTCTTAACAATGCTATCAACCTGGGTGGCAACTTTCAGTGATCTATGCACATGGATTTGAAAGTTGCAAGCTCCAATAGCCATTGTGGAGCTCTGATTGAGTTATACCACTACATTCCTGCTCTAACAGACAGGCTCACATTCTCACAGGCACAACCTCCCACACAGTTCTCATCCAGTGGGTCCTGTTCAAGCCTTGAATTCAGGTCGCAATGGGAAAAAGTTTGGAAAGCACTGCCTAAGCCTTTATGATGATTTGCTCAAACTGCCCTACCACCACCACCAACGGTTTGTGCATAATCCTAGCTTTTTCTTTTGCTGCATCACTTTTTAGAATTGTACCTTTTATTTTCCATTGCCTGTCCTCATTCTTCAGAGAAAAGTGTATCACTTCACACTTCTTTGGGTTAAATTTCTTCACCTAAGTGTCCACGCATTCCATCAGTGTTCTTTTGAAAACTGTCACTATCCTCCTCACTGTTCACAATACTTCCAGTTTTGACTTACCTGCAGATCTTGGATGTGTTCCCTGTACACCAAAGCGTATTTCATTGATATATACCATGAAAAGCAGTGGTCCTAGTATCAGGCCCTTTGGAACCCCACTATATACCTCCTTCTAACCTAAAAAAAACGCCAGTTCCCCAATACTCTTTTTTGTCAACTGCATTACCCCAATTGGCCCTCTCTGTTACTTCATCAAAAATCTCAGTGAAATTAGTTAAACGTGATTTGTCTTGAACAAATCCAGGCTGGTTTAATTAAACCCATTTGACCAAGTGATTGTGAATTGTGTCCTGGACTATTTTTTCTAACTGCCTCCAATCGCCAAGATTAAACTGACTAGGCTGGAGTTGTGGGATTTAACTTTATAAACTTTTCTGAACAAGGGTGTAATATTTGTAACTTTGGCACCACCCATATCTAAGCAACATGAAACATTATAGCCAGAGCTTTCATAATTTCCTGCCTACGTCCTTCAGTATTTTTGAAATGTCCCATTCAGTCCTGGTGATTTATCAATGTCACTACAATCAATCTTTCTAATAACTTATTTATTTATTTTTACTCTATCCAGTTTCTAACTATCATCGCTTTCACTATGACTTGGAAATATCTTTCTGCTTGGTAAGGGCAGATGCATTTATTTAGAAACAAAGACAGAAATTGCTGGAAAAACTCAACAGATCTGGCAGCACCTGTGGAAAGAAAGCAGAGTTACTGTTTCGGCTGCAGTGGTCCTTCTTCAGAGCTGGTTGTAGCTGGGAAAATAGTTGAGGGAAATGGGGAGGAGTAAACAATAGGTGGAGATGGAGCCCAGAAAGAGAAAGAGAGAGAGAGAGAACAATAGTTTGGCAGACAAAGGAATGGATAATAGTCAGCCTGGAAGAATCGCTAGGTGCTAATGGGGATCATTAGTACCTGATGATGGGTTATTGAGGTTGCAACCCATGTGACGACAAGGCCTGGTGTGTGGGGATTGGGTAAGGACTCCAAAATTATCAAACTTAACATTGAGTCCTAAAGGCTGCAGGGTTCCCAAGCAGAAAATGGGAGGAGAACTTTTTTTCAGCAATTTCTGTTTTTGTTTCTGAAATCTGCTGGAAATCTGCAGTTCTTTGGTTTATTTATTTATCAGCCATGCCCTCTGCCTAATTGTGTAGAAGTGTATTTTGGGTCCTAATCAAGTCTACTTCTTCTCTTAATACCTTTATGCTACTTATATGCCTGCAGAAGAGTTTTGGAATCCCTCTTCATTTAGCTGCCAGTTTCTTCTCATACTCTAGCTTGTTACAATCCCCATACAGACCAATAATGTTTACAAAGGGATTTGAACTTCCAGTAACTGACTTAAAGGATTACATAAGATTTCAAATTTTCAGATTTTAATGTAGCAAATGAACTAAAAGCAACGTTGAAATTTTTTGTAGGTAACGTAGTTTAGATCTCAGAAAAGATCCCTCATTTAACTTTTAAACTGGCCAAAATTCCCCATCCACACTTACACTTTACCCTGTCCTAGTAGCAGCACTAATTAGCTAAACTCCATTTTAGCTTGAAATTAAAGAGACAATTTAAAGTATAACTGTTTATAAATTCTGATATTTTATACAGCCATATTGTTTCTATTTTATAAACTAGTCTCCCTCTCAGCTCTTTACATTTTTACCATCCCATTCTATATTTGGATAATTTAAGTTACTCATCATAAATTGTGTACCTCTCTATAATTTCCTTGCAAATTTCCTCCTATACATTTTTCCTACTAGTTTATGCCCTATAGAATACACCTAGTAGTGTAATTATATCTCTGCCATTTAACTTGAACTAATCAGATCCTGTCATTGACTTCCCTAGTATACCCTCTCTGTAGCACTGTAATATAATCCTTAATTAATACTGCCACTTCCTCCCCACCCATTTCTTTCTCATGTGGATATCTGCACCAAAGCTCACCAACCTTATTTATTACATTTTTTGCATTTACATACATGTACTGCTCCTGCATTCCCCTGACTCTGACCTCACCTAATATCTTGCTATTTCTTACTCAAGTGCTATGTGTCTCTCCTAATTATTCTCGCATCTTCTTTATCCTTCCCTGTGCTACATCTTGCTTCTAATTCTCTTGCCAAAGCAGCTTAAGCCCTTTCCAGCAGCACTAGCAATCCACCCATCTCAAACTGCCCTGCTCTCTAGAATTTCCCAGATTCTGACTTTAATAACTCAGCAGAAAAATAACAAGACAATTTTGTTTTTAATTATTCTCAAGCATGTTCATTTATTGGTTAGGAAACTATCAGAAATAAGATGGAGCTTGATTGGGCAAGGTAGCCAGAGGCAGGTGGCCAAGTGATGAATTACACGGGAATCAGGCATAAGAAAATAAGAAGTACATGCAGAAGTAGGCCTTTTAGCCCCTTAAGCCTGTTCTGCCACTAAGATCATGTCTTCAACTCCACTTTCCTACCTGCCCCACATAACCCTTGATTCGCTTGTTGGTCAGAGATCTGTCTAACTCAGCTTTGAATATATACCATGGCCTGGCCTCCACTACAGTCAAGGGCTGAGATTCTAAAACCCACTGAGAGAAGAAACCCCTCATTTCCATCTTAAATCTATCCTCTGACTTGAGCACCAACTGACTAAATCATTCTACTGCTCATCTCTAAGCTCTCTGAATTACCAAAATCCTTTTCACATTGCTTGGAAATACATAGAAATGCACAACTTCAAACTGTTGTGAAAGCCCATTCAATAGCAACTTTACAAAGAGAATAAATTCTTAGCCCTTATTCTGAAACTGTGCTCCCCATTCCTAGATTCCCCAAGGGAAGTCCAACCAGAACTGGAAACACGACGTGTCATGCATTCCTGAATACTGAAGGAAGTTCTTCAAGAGACAGGATACACTACAGTCACAGTTTGCCAGGAATCTTTTAACATGGAGTCTCAAAGGTCTAAAATGTTGGGAGGGGTTCATCCATCCAGAAGACAAAACAAAGGGATAAATCATGCCATAATAGGCTGTTTAGTCTTTACATTGAAAATGCATCACCAAAAAAAAGGCCTTCTGCCTCAAAAGATTAATGCTGGTGTTTATGCTGCTTGCAATGTTATTAAACTGGAAAGAGTGCAAAAAAGATTTACAAGGATGTTACTGCAAGTACATGGAACGAGTTACCAGGGGAAGAGGTGGGGATTGTCATAGAATCCCTACAGTGTGGAAACTGGCCCTTTGGCCCAACAAGCCCACACTGACCCTTGGAGCATCCCTCCCAGACCCATCCCCCTACAACCCACCTAAGCTACAAATCCTTGAACTCTATGGACAATTTAGCACGGTCAATCCACCTAGCCTGCACATTTTGGAGTGTGGGAGGAAACCGGAGCAAACCATGCAGACACATGGAGAATGTGCAAACTCCACACAGACAGTTGCCTGAGGGTGGTATCAAACCCGGGTTCCTGGCGCTGTGAGGCAGTAGTGCTAACCACTGAGCCACCGTGCCGCCCCATCTTGAGGTGAATAGAATTGCAACATTTAAAAGACATTTGGTCAGGTACATGGATAGGAAAGGTTAAGAGGAATATGGGCCAATGCTGACAAATGGGATTACTTCAATTTAGGAAACCTGCTCAGCAGGGATAAGTTGGGCCAAAGGGCCTATTTCCATGCTGTATGCCTCTATGATTCTATGGGCTTCCTCATAGTTCTCTTCTCCAAATCCTATCAGCATAGCCTTTTAGGGTTTTTTTTTCTGAAGAAGTGTCTAGACCCGAAACGTCAGCTTTCCTGCTCCTCTGATGCTGCTTGGCCTGCTGTGTTCATCCAGCTCTACACCTTTTTATCTCAGCATAACCTTCTATTCCTTTCTCAGTCACAAGCTTATCCATTTTTCAATGTCTTACCAACAAGACCTACTAAGTCATAACTCAAGAGTGCGAAACTGCAGGGAGAGTAGCTAATTGGATAGCTCTTTCAAAGATCTGGCACAGGTATATGGTTTGAATGGTCTCCTTATTCTCTGTATGTTAACACTCCTGTTCTATTGCTTTACGAGAGTAGATTCATAGAGTCATGGGGTTGTATAGCACAGAAACAGATCCTTCGGTCCAACATGTCCATGTCGACCAGATATGCTAAATAAACCTAGTCTCATTTGCAAGCATTTGGCCCATATCCCTCTAAACCCTTCCTATTCATGTACCCATCCAAATGCCTTTTAAATGTTGCAATATACCAGCCTCCACCACTTCCTCTGGCTGCTCATTCTATACATGTACCACCCTCTGCGTGAAAATGTTGCATCTTAGGTCTGTTTTAAATCTTTCCCCTCTCACCTTAAACCTATGCCCTCTAGTTTTGGACTCCCCTACTCCAGAGAAAAGACCTTGTCTATTTACCCTATCCATGCCCCTCATGATTTTATAAACCTCTATAAGGTCACCCCTCAGCCTCCGACGCTCCAGGGAAAATAGCCCCAGTCTATTCAGTCTCTCCCTATAGCTCAACCCTCCAATCCCAGCAACTACCTTGTAAATCTTTTCTGCAACTTTCAAGTTTCACAACATATTTCGTATAGCAGGGAAGCCAGAACTGAATGCAGTCTTCCAAAAGTGGCCTAATTAATGTCCTGTACAGTCACAACATGACATCTCAACTCCTATACACAATGCACTGACCAATTAAGGCAAGTGTACCAAACACCTTCTTCACTACCCTGTCTATCTCTGACTCCACCTTCAAGGAACTACAAACCTGCATCCCAAAGTCTCTTTGTTCTGCAACACTCCCAGGACCCTACCATTAAGTGTACAAGTCCTGCCCTCATTTCCCTTACCAAAATGCAACACCTCACATTTATCTAAATTAAACTCCATCTACCACTTCTCAGTCCATCTGATCAAAGTCCTGTTGTAAATGGATGAAGTGTTAACTGGATCTCCACAGGGAGGTTGGTGAGAGTGGTTGGAGACCCAACCTGCTCTACAGTGGGTTGTGGGGTCCATGCCACTCACTGCCCACTGCTGTCTGGTGTTTTGTTTCCACCAAGTGCCCAAACTAATTCTGATTTCAACAGATGGTGACCTTTGCTTTCCTCAGGGCCTCACACTTTGCCAGTTCTTCGAGCAGGAGAGGATGAATTTCTCTGGGAAGAAGATGATTGAGTTAGGATCTGGCACTGGGATCGTGGGAATTCTGGCAATTTTGTTGGGTGAGTTAAAGGGCCATTGTCAACCTAATATAGTGGCTTTGTTGATGTGGAAAAGACATAGTAACCGGACAAGTCCCGTGAAATGCTTGAAGATGCATTATCATGTTAGTCACCACAGATTAATGTGCTCAAAGACCCTCTCCTCTATGCTCCACGCTTTGGGCAATTACAAGGTGAACATTCGTCTAGATAACCAGGCTCCTGTTGGCAGAATGCATGCAACTAGAGTCCAGCATTTCTTGTGGTAAGAAACCAAACCCCTTAGTAGAGTGAAACCCTGATCTCAACTCTCCATCTCCTCATCAGTTAGTTGTATGGGATGGGTGGGGACTAGAGTTGCCAACTCTGATTTAAGGTAATCTGGAAGATTTGTCACATGACCAACTCCCTCCAAACACCCTGACCCTACATTCCCATTATACCAATACATGTTTTTGAAGTTTTGTTGCATGGTAGAAGCACGGCAATTTACACACAACAGTCCTTCTACTATACTCTCAGGCTGTACAGAGCAAGTGCTGGCTCAGGTATGGGTGTGAATTGTGTGAGTGGGATTCTGAATAAATCTCATACACAAGTCTGACAATTTCTGCCTGCCACAGGCTCCTGTCCTATTAACACTCTCTGCTTTCTGTCAGCCTTGAGGTACTTCTGGATCAAAAGGTTGTGGGTTCAAGTCCCCTCTAAACCTGTGAGCACAGAACCCAGGCTAACATTTTCCTGTAGGAAAGAGGGAGAGCTGCCCATTCAGCAAACCAAAGGCCCCATTTACTCTTCCTGAGTAAAAGATGCTATCATTAATTGAAAAAGAGCAAGGAACTCCTTCCTGACATTTGTCCCTTGACAACATACCTTCCGTTATGGAAGTTTTTGTTTGCAGATTGGCTCTCCCACACCCTATGTTTCAGCACAACACTCCAAAATACTTAATTTATTGGAAAGGATTTGGTGATATCGGAAGGTTGTGAAAGCCTAGAGATAAATTTATTTCTTGCCTTATTCTATTCCATCCCACTTCCCTCTGACTGTTAACTGGGGCGCAGGTCTCCGTGATGGGACATGAAGATGACTTAATTCTGTTGCTTCTCCTTCAGGTGGGCAGGTAACCCTGACCGATCAGATCCAAGCTTTGAAGCAAATTGAGCACAACGTTTCAGTCAATGTACCCGATTCCTGCAGACACCTTCCAACGATCAGAGCTCTTTCCTGGGGCTTTGACCACGTGCACTTCCCCAGTGACTACGACATAATCCTGGGTTCGGACATTGTGTATTATCCGTCAGATTTCCCCCTGCTGTTGCAGACATTGCGACACCTCAGCAACCAGCAAACGATCATCTACATCGCGACAGAGTTAAGGGGCTGCGGTGCAACTCGTAAATTCCACGAGGAGCTCATCCCGCTATATTTCAACTCCCGCATTATTTACAGAAACAAGGATGCTGACATCAATCTGTACAAATTAACACTGAAGGGCCCCAAAACAGGAGAGGAGAAAGAGACAGGCAAAAAAATTACTGTCTAATTAATGCATAGTCTCACAACTCACTAGCGTGTTTGCAGAATTATAAATCCAGCGCAGGATGAATAATGTGATGGACGATCGTCAAAATTATGTAGAGTTTTACAGCACGGATACAGGCCAGTCAGCCCAAATGGTCTATGCTGCTCCCATCCTCCTCTATTTCACCATATCAGAACATTTTCCATTTTCTTTCTCTCACAGATTCCTCTTAGATACATGTGCCTCGACCACTCTACGTTGAATCAAGTTTCACACTCTAACCTCTCCATATTTAAAGACGTTTCTCCTGAATTTCTTATTGGATTGATTAGTCACTAGCTTATAATTTCAACACCTAGTTTGCACTCCTCCACATCCATGCAGACTTTGCTGTGAAAGTGGCGGTGAAGAGAATGGCATTCCCCATAGTTTATTACACAGAGAGTTTAGGCTAGGAGAATATGTGCAATTGAACAGAGCTTTCCAAAAGTAGCTACCTGAGTTGTGTCAATGGCATTATCTTTAGGAAATCTCAACTCACTGATTGACTGACCATGGAAATACATTAATTGTCATGAAGCTGCTGCATTTCATAGTAGGTATGACACATGCGTGTCACAGGATGTGAAATCTTCTTCAGTCGTGTCTAAATATCACCTCAACAACATGATAATTGTTGACTGCTTGCAGCCAAACTCTCTCGCACTGAAATTGACAACTACAAATGTGGACTCTCATTATGCAATTTCATCATTGGAGATTTTGAAAATGTCAAAGATAAATTTATTAGTATTTCAATTTTTTTCCCACTCCTTAATTTCCCTCCCCTTCTGACTCTGATTTGACAAAGAATTCACCGACTGTAATCCACCCTTCTCAGAGTTTGAGCAGTTATTTTCCCAATACTCCAGTCTGATTTATTCGGAAAGTGGCTTCCCTCGACATAGTTTTGCTCACTGTGATATCACTGGCTCACAATTTTTGCAACTTGCTATATAAAAACATTTGAACAACTAAGCGCAAACACCTAAGTTTAATTAACCAGAGGTCACGGAATTAAGGTATTGCTGGAAAAGGGGACATTATGTCAAAGTTTGTTGTCTTGCACTGAATAGGATAACTCCCAAAGATACCAATTCAAGGGGAATGCCAACATATATACTCCATGAGTGTAGAGTGCTGACATGTTGGCTCTGATTAGTAGAGCCGTTTCCCTTGAGAATGCACCAATGAATGAGGATTGCCAATTAACAGCCAGCTTTGTCTAAGTTTACCATTAGGGGAGCCATTATTCATTGAACATACAAACTTGTGCAATTGAGTTTTTTTTAAAATACATTATGTATGCCCAAATAGATAGTGTTGTCATGGGACCGCCAATAGACCCACCACTCAGCAATATCTTTGTTGGATCCTATAAGAGCAATGTCTTCAATGGAATGACACCTAACCTCCTCCCCCTTTTTTTTATTAATTAACAGGATGAGGGTGTCACTGGCTAGGCAGCATTTATTGCCCAGAGGCCAATTCAGAGTCAACCACATTGCTGTGGGTCTGGAGTCACATGTAGGTCAGACCAGGTAGGAATGGCAGTTTCCTTCCCTAAAGGACATTAGTGAACCAGATGGGTTTTTCCCCAACAATTGACAGTGAATTCATGGTCATCATTAGATTCTTAATTCCAGATAATTTAAATTCAAATTCTGCCGTGGCGGGAATCGAACCCAGGTCCCCAGAATGTTATCTGGGTCTCAGGATTAACAGTCCAGCAATAATACCACTAGGCCATCACCTCCCCATCCCTTGCATATTTCTGAGATGTAGCTGATACTTTTGCTATATCTGAGTCTGCAGCTACATGTCAGAATTTCTTTATATATTTTAGGGGGCGCCATTGGACACTCAAATTCACATCTGAAATGCAACAGTCAAATAAGATCCCTTTCTTCAATCACCTAGTTGAGAAATCATCCAGGAGAGCTCTGTATGACTATCTACTACAAAACCACCTTCACTGGTCAGTATACATGTTGGGATTCTTACACTTGTACACAATATAAGATTGGTCTTCTTGAAAACCTTGTACATAAAACCTGAATTCTTTCTTTCACTGACCAAACATGATGCTGAAATAGGGTGCATCAAAGCTATCCAGTGGGATAATGGCTACCCTGATCAGATTGTTACTTGCAGTGTATTCGGTAAACTCATGAACGGACCTTAAACATGGTCACTGTTGTTCCTGAAAAGTGCCCAGTCTGCCTCAGATTACTCAGGAAGGGTAGGATAACTCAAATTGTTTCACTCTGCTACAAAGAAGTAGTACCATCAGTGGTCTCTGCCACTAACAAAATGCTACTGTCAAGTCAAAAATGACATTCTGCCTATCAAACAAACGAATAATGTGATGTATGAATTCAGCAATGGTTAGATGCTGCGTATGTACAAAATTGGCGGATTGTATCAAACAACATATCCCTTCAGTTGTTTACAACTGGCAATGCACTGACCATGCCCAACCAGCCACTGCTTGGGAATCTTATAACACCATGTCTGCATGTATGGAATCAGCTGCCAGAGGAAGTGGTGGAGAGTTGTACAATTACAACATTTAAAAGGCACCTGGATGGGTACTACAACAAAAGCTTTTTTTCAGTGATCATTTCTAAATTGGAGATGGTTGTGTAAAATCTGTTCCCAAGAATGACCACTTGGGCAAGGTACTGAGTGAATGGGTAGTATCTGAGAAATGACCAATAATCAAAGCGGGCACCTTCAGATAGGGAATGGAAAAAGTATATCATTACACTTTTGTAATGATTCAATTTTATTACAACATATGTAATTTCATTCTCTTAATGTATATTTCTTAATATAATTTTAGTAATAGAGGCAAAGATCAGAGTGATTTGATGTTTATATAAGGAAGATATAAAACTGATTTGCAAAAGGTATAATCCAACTTGTTGGTTTAAATGATACTCTGATGAAGTCATCCAGACTCAAAACGTTAGCTTGCTCTCTCTCCATGGATGCTGTCTGACTGTCTGTGATCTCCAGTATTCGTTGTTTTCAGTACAGATACCAGCATCCGCAGTAATTTGCCCCTCCTTGTTGGTTTAATTCAGTAATTAATTCAGCTTGTTTTTGTCTCTAGCTGTATATGGAATGAGCTGCCAGTGGAAGTGGTAGAGTCGGGTACATTGCAACATTGAAAAGGCATTTGGACAGGTACATGCATAGGAAAGGTTCAGAGTAATATGAGCCAAACGCAGGCAAATGGGACTAGTTTAGTTTAGGAAACCTGGTTGGCATGGACGAGTTGGGCTGAACGGCCTGTTTGTGCGCTGTGTACCTCTATGACTCTATAAATAGGGGGTTTAGAGGGATATGGGCCAAATGCCGGCAATTGGGACTAAATTAATTTGGGATATCTGGTCAGCATGGACAAGTTGGACCCTCTATGACTCTACGTCCAACATTAGCCGTGATTCTGCAATTAGACAACATTTGTTGGATAATCCTGAGTGTGAAGAATTACACTGACAACCAATTTAGGATTCTCAGTCTTGCCCCCAGTGTGACACAATTACAAGTACTGGAAGTTACATATATTAATAAACAGGTCCCTATTCTTTGCAGACAGAAAGAACATGCATGCACATTGTGCCTGTTTCAACTCAAGAAAATGGGTAACAGCCATTCTCTGGTTCGTTTCTCGGGGCAATGCCCTGAACTAATCAAAGTCAACGTGCTGGGTTTAAAATTTAACAAGGCCTGGCTATTAACTGTTAATCCACTAGTTGGTGTATTCTTCAAGGTACTAGCTCTACCAACCAGAGGAACCAATCAGCACTTTCCTCTCATTCAATACATATGTTGTCTTTCCTGCTAATTGTGCTGATGAGTATAAGAAAGCAAGCTTTGACAAAAATTGTTTTTTTGACAATACTCAAGATCTGTGCTCTGAAATGAGTGATTTAAGATAACTGGCAAGACAACAAGAGTGGTGATGGGAAGGCACTTTTAGCTATGATCCGGAATGTATTATGTGAAAGGATGATGGATGCAGATTTATTGGTTACTTTCAAAAGGAAATTGAATGAATTGGATAAATAACTTGAAAATAGAAAATCTGCAGGGTAACTGGATATCTTTTTTAAGGAGCCCACATGTGCTGAATGGAATACTTCTGCGCTGCAATATTCCATGATGATTCAAACAGTAAACTAATCAAAAATGACATTTACTCAAATTATTTCAATTTGGGATGAATGACACTAAAAAAAATAAAAATGTTGTTTAATAAAAGGAGTAAGGCATAGAATATTCTTAATTTATGAAAAATTAATTAAACCCCATTGTGGTAATTCTTTTGATGACCAGTTACAGAATCAAAGTATTTTTTGAGATTTTCAGACATGTTTGGAAACTTGTCAGTTTCACTGGTGGTTGTAAGGTCGATTGAAAGATTTGCATTTGTACAGCATTTCAAGACATCCTCAATATGGAGCATCTTCTTGAATTACAATTACTATTGCGGGAAACACAACAAACTGGCACATGAGTCTCTTGAGGAATAAATATTGGCCAACATGGCAGGGAGAAATACCCCCACTACTCTTCAAATATTTTCAAGGAAACCTTCACTATACATCTGCCTGAGACCGTTTAATGTTCCATCTGCTCAACACCACCTCTCCAGTACATGGAAGAAGTGTCCAGCTCATTGGAGGGGCAATGAATACTGATTGCAGAAAGCATGGTCAGAATTAAAGACCATGTACAGTACAATTTTGTCAAAGTAAAGCTCTGTGACACTTATAAAAGTGGATTCTGGAAATCTGGAATTTAAAAAAAAAACTGCTGGAGACACTCATCGGATCTGGCACCATCTGTGAAGAGATGGAATTAACTCTTTGTGAGTGCATTCAGAGAGTCCTCTTCAAAACTGAACTGAAGAAAACTCTCATCGGGAAACAAAAAGTTCCCACTATCTCTGTCCCGCCATAAATTTTGAA